TAGTGTTTTGTTTTTCCTGTGTAAGCAATTTTTGCCCAATGGTATAAAGGTGTTTTTCCATGTTACTTTTCACGGTTAGTTCTGTAATCAATCTAGAATTTATTTTTGGATAGGGTGAAAACTATTCCTTCAAGGTAGGTCTACTGATAACAAATTTCACTTTTTTCTATGAAAAATGTTTTTATTTTGAATTAAAATTTGAAAGAAGCTTTTGTTAGGTATGAAATGTTACATTGGAGGTTTTTTCTTTTAACATTTTCAAGATGTCATTGCATTGTCTCTGGCTTTCACTATCTTTATTGAGAAGTTATTGATAAATGCTATTCTTACTATTTTGAAGTTAATGGATTTTGATTTACTAGATAATTTTATATCTTTTTAACCTTGGTATTCAACAATTTTATAAAGATTGGCCTACATGAGGTTTACTTTGTATTAATTCTGTTTGTGGATCTTAACACTCTTAAAACAGTGGTTTGACATCTTCCGTTAATTTGGGGGAAATTATCAGCCATTATCTTTTAAAATATTGATTTTGCCACATTATAGATAAGACAGACCCTATCATATATGTCTACTAACTCTTTTCTGTATATTTCATCTGTACTTTATTCTTTATTTTTCTTCTAACCTAGCTCTAATCTCTTTTTTTGGCTGCGTCTAATTGCTGCCAAATCCACCTATTGAATTTTTAACTTCAATTATTGTACAATTTTCACCTCTAGAATTTATATCTGACTTTTTTTAACAGTCTTCAGTTATCTGACCAATTTCTTTTCCGTGAAAATTCTCTAACTGGGCTTCCAGTTCTTAAACACATTAATTACTATTTTAAAGTTGTGTCTCTAATATCTGGATTTCTAATATGTCTCTATCTGTTGTATGATTCCCTTGGTTTTTAATGATTCATTCTTGTTCTTTTGGAATGCCAGGTAATTTTACTTTTTTATTGAATGCAGAGCACTAGGCATAAAATATTGTAGAGATTACTTGGGGCTCTTGGGGCTTTAATCTTTTTCCAGAGAGAATTTATTTTCGCTTCTGAGAAGCATGTACAAGAGAGCGGAGCACTGTACTCTAAGAATTGAATTGATTAAAAGTTGGACTTTGGTTTTGGTTTTTGTTTTGAATGCAATCAGAAACCTTTATTCTGGTCTTCATTATTCATTAAGCAATCTACCCCAACTTCTTTATCTCTGCTCCAAGCAGCAAAAGCTGCATCCAGGCCTAAAATAGAAGACACAAGTAGTGGAAGACCTTGTAGAGAAAAGCTAACAGGTGAGATATTTACTTATCCTGGCTTAAGTGAAGGTAGAATAGAAAAAGTGTGTTAGCGTGATATTCCAAAGACTCTGTTCTTCAAAGCTGAGGCCTGCAGCAGAGGTACTAGATAAAGGACATAAAACTATCCATCTCAGGAATCTGGAGAAACCAAGCTGATGGACTTCACTTTTCTAAAGAGTTGGTCTATTTCAAGTTCATTCTTGCCCCTTGAGATAACCCTTCAGGATACCCCCCACACACACAAAAAAAACTCTAGGTACTCATCAGTGTGCTCTGACCTCTAAGTGTTGCCCCTCTCTTTCTTGGTGTGCTCTGACCTCTAAGTGTTGCCCCTCTCTCCTGCCCCGGCCCCTCCAAATCTCATAAGATCTCTGGTGTTTCAGTTTAACTTTTTGGCATATGCGAAATATTGGACTCACCATTTTGCATCTCCTCAAGTTTTTGCTGCATTGATGTCTCTCTGGTAACTTAAAATAGCGTCATGCATAATCTTTCCAGTGTTTCTAGTTGTTTTTGGTAGATGGATTAGTCTACCTTAGGCAGAAACCCCTTTCTCTGTGTGATTTTAATTTGCATTTCCTTCATTATTAGCAAGTAAATCATCTTTTCACATGACTATGGGCCATTTTTATTTTTTTATGAACTGTTTGTTAAATTTCTTGCTCAATTTTCTATCAGATTCTTGATTTTCATCTCTATTTTTAGAAGTTCTTATGTATTAAAGACTATGATAAAAAGTAGAAATTTTTTCCTCAATTTGTAATTTTTCTTTTGTAAACATTGCTTATGGTATGTTTTTCCATTCAAAAATTTATTACGTTTATGTAAAGTCAAATATTTCCATTTGGAGGTTATTACTTCTGTGTTTGGAGGCATAATTAGCAAGAATGTTCTGCTCCCCAGCTTAGAGAAATTCTCCAGCGTTTTTTCTGTAACTGTGTCTTTAATGAATATGTTGTTGAACAATTGAAAAATGATCCACTCTCTAGAGCTGGCAGAGTGAGAAAGGATACAATGTGGTACTAAGTCCATTTGGAAGTTTCAAGTTTTATTTTCCCTTCCTTAACATCATCTTCAAGAACTAATTGGAAGAACTCATGGACACAGTTACTTTTATGTTGTCCTTGAAAAGCTTGGGAGCCTATAAGTCGTTTTTTGTTTTCTTTTTTGTGTTATACTTTTCCTGATTTCTCTCATCTACTCTCACATCATCAATGTTACTTCTATATTGATATCTCTCAAATACGTACATGTCTAATTCATACTTTTCTTCCTCAACACTGGATGCAAAAGCTTGTTTGACATTTCCACTTAAATATCTCAGAACTTCAGACTTCGTATCTAAAATGGCTTTCTTGCCCTTTCCACACTTTCTTGTTTTATATGTCTTCAGGTATTGACCCTCTACCATTTATCCATCCTGGCTCAGAAATTAGACATCTTTGAGTCATACTTCTTGATTGTAAACTTCAGTAAATCATTATTACCAAGAGTGCAAGTTCTGTATTTGAAGTTATCTTCCTTCAAAGAAAAAGATTATAAACTGGATCTCTCCCATCCTTGCTTCATTCTCACTCACAGGCATACCATCAAATTTAATACAATGCAGCCTCGATAAGTATTCATGTAATAAAAATGAATTTAATCTTCTGTTTAAAAATTACAGAAATAATTGAAACTGAAATTATGGATTTTCTAGCATGTTATCTGTATCTGTATTTGTATTTTCAAATGCCCTGACCCTTGAAGTTGTGAAAACATAATAGATATTTAACTAAGAAGTAAGAAGGCACTGACTGTCCTTTTGACTATCTGGAAAATTCCTCTCTCTCTCTCTCTCTCTCTCTCTCTCTCTCTCTCTCTCTCTCTCTCTCTCTCACACACACACACACACACACACACACTCCCTTATTGCTACACTTAAGCAACAGCTTCAGTCACAACAAACAGAATGACATGCCTTCTGAAGCTGTGCAAATAGAGATCACGATGAAAATTAAAGACTGGATTTTCAGCTATCCAAAATGGCATCATCTGAGAAGGTCTCCTGGGGAAGCAAATTAAACCATTCGTTTGTGTTTAAACACGAACCTCACTGCGAAGAGAATGCATCTTTCTCTTTTTAGGCATGTCTAAGGCAAAGTAAGTTTTGTTTTTATTTTTTATTTTTTCCCC